CCTCCGCAGCATGGGGCAGGGATCGCTAGCTGGAGGATTCTCTGCTAATTGAAGTCTCTAAACCACAGGATTTGGGGACTTCAACAGCAGAGTCAAGGGAAAGGGGTTGGGATGGCTTTGTGGCCTGCATCATGCGGGAGGTCAGACTAGATGATCATAATGGTCCCTTCTGACCTTAAAGTCTATGAGTCTAATTACAACACTGTGAAATTTCAGATTTAAATAACTGAAATCATTAAATTTACGATTTTTAAAATCCTATGACCATGAAATTGATCAAAATGGACCAAGAATTTGGTAGGGCCCTATATAGGAAGCATTTGCAATTCCCACTAAATAGATGAGTGAAATCTCCTGTTAATAATGAAACAGGCATTTATATAGGACTTTCACATTGCATTGTCATTACTAATTATTCACTCCCTCCCTCCAGTGAGATAGGTAGTTTAATTATTATTGTCTCTGGTTTACAGATGAGAAGATTGAGAGAAAGGCACAAGAGATTGAGGGCTTTATCCAAAGCCCATTGAAGTGAATTAAAAGACTCTTATTGACTTCAGTGGGCTTTGGATCAGTTCTTTAGAGACTTGCCCTATGCCTTAGAGCAGGCCTGCACAACATGCAGCCCGGGGGCCGCATGTGGCCTGTGTGGGCTCACTGTGCGGCCCGCAGGGGGTGAATAGGCAAGCGGCGGGTGAGGGAGGGGGGCTGAGGAGGCGAGTGGGCGGGTAGTGGCGGGGGGTGAGTAGGCGGGCGGGCAGTGGCGGGGGTGCAGGTGAGCTGGCAGCAGGGGAGGGGGACTGAGGAGGCGAGCGATGAGTTGGTGGCTGACCTGGTCTACTGCTCTGGTCTGGCTCCCATCCCCTCTCCAAGGGTTGCAGCTGTCTGGAGGTGCCTGCCTTCCATGCCTTCCTCATTCATTCAACAGGGCAATTGATTACAAAGTGGAGGGAAGATCTTATTCTACTTCTAGCAAAAAGACATTTTTCTTTTACCTTAATTATACTACCTTAGGAGCCCGCTATAACATATTACAAAGGTTCAATACCGCTGTTTTGGTGGGGCGGCGCTGGGGAAGGAGGGTTTGTTTCTGCGTGGCGGGCGGCGCTGGGGGGGGTGTTTCAGGGGGGCTGGGCGGGGCTGGGGGGTGTTTCCGCGGCACTGGGGGGTTTCCATGGGGAGGGCGGCGCTGGGGGAGGTGTTGTGTTTCGGGGGGGCTGGGCGGTGCTGGGGGAGGGGTGGGCAGCGCTGGGGGTGGGGTTTGGCAGGGCCGGGGGGGTTCGGCCCTCAGCTGTTTTCTTTGGAGTAATTTGGCCCTTGCCGCTTTACGAGTTGTGCAGGCCTGCCTTAGAGAGAGTTTAATGTAACATCAGAATTAGAGCCTAGGAGTTTCTGAGCTCAGACCAGTAGACCACACTCCTCTGTCATGTTACAGGGATTAATACTAGAGCATCAGGTACAATGAGTACTACTGTATCAGCTCCTTATTAAGAACCCTGTGGTCTGTTGCAGCTATTGATGTCACTTACCTGCTGGAGGAAGGATCAGGAAGAAAATTGAGGAGGCGTACTCTCACCATCCTGGAGAGCAGCTTCAGGAAGTGATGTCCCAGCAACAGACTGTGATCTGGAGTCCACTACCAGGTCTGCTAGAGACTGATGGGGAAGCCCCTTCCTTCCTGTACACCAACCAAGGAGAGATGGGTAGAAGAAAACTGACATAAATACAGTTAGCACTTAGAAGTCTGGGCAGGCAGGTGGCCCTGCCTTGCTCTGCAGTGCTCTTATGATGTGTGTGTTGTTGGGCGTGCCTTGTATCGATGTTAGGTACTGAGAAAACCTTGTGATTATTCGTCCAAGATGGTCAGATTTAATTTATTTTTGCTTAATGTCCCCACTTGGAGGGAAAAAGAGGGGGTAAATAGAAGGATGAGGACTGATTTACTCTGATGAGAATATTCCCCATACAGACCAGTTGTCCTATGATTGTACAAGATACCGTTGGCACTGCCAGTGGCGTGTACCAATGTATGAAGTCCATAGGGAGGGTGAAGGCCCAATGGATTAAAATAAAGGCTGCCCTAAAGGAGCGGCCTCAGTTTTGCACAAGTTCAGAGAGGGAAGAAATGTACCAGGATGTATAAAAGGTTCACCGTGAAACGGCCAGTGCCCAGATGCTCCTTTGATCTGTAGAGAGGAAAAGCCCCCAGTCAGCTCAGAGTGAAACGAGAGTTGGTTGTTCGAAGCACTTGTTGTTCCGCATCCTGAAATGGGGGTGTGTAATTTTTCACATTTTTTCTGCAGAGAAATTTTATAAAGCGAGTCGAATCCTGACGACACCATTGCTGTTGGTTTTTTTGATAAGCTGTGGTTCTTGTGTGTCCAATGTGTTGTGCAAATTAAAATCTGTTAAAAGAAGATAAAAAAAGAAACCTTCACTACATGAACCGTCAAGCAGTATTCAGAGCGAGTATTTGTTGTGAACTGTAGAATATATCAACTAATAACACTATTCTTGTGTTCTAACTGTACAGCTTAAAACGTCTGTCTCTTAAAGAGACAGTGTATTTTACCACTCCCTCTCTCTGCCGTCATGAAAGTGTTGCTCCCAAAGGCTACAGCCAAGGCGCTAACTTTTCACTGCATGAAATTGTGATTGCCATAGTTTGCCACAATCTAGTGCTGTACTGGGATCCCCTGTATTTCAACATGTAACCTTCCCCAATACCCAGTGCCGTGAAGCTGTCATCTGTCTCTGGGTCAGGCCCTGCTAGTGGCAAAGGGAGGGGGCAGTAGGCATACACTGCCCCTTTAAAATAGCTTTGCTTTTTTGTCTTTCAGACGTACATATGCATATACAGTCCTGTTTTAGATGTTCTTATAAGAAAAAACAGTTTTTAATGTGCCAAGTTGTATATATCTGCTGCGTGGATGTAAAGCAATACGGTAGTTACATGTTCCTTTTTAATGGACCAAGCTTGTCCTAATGTACATTCTTGTTATTATTATAATTATTATTTTACTCTTAGTGGAACATGACTCATTCCATTAACTTTTATGTGTTGATTTAAAAAGAAAAAAAGAAAGGAAAAAACCCTTTGAGGAAAAAAATATTTTATTAAAAAAAAGAAATAAGAAAATAGTTTGGAATATTTTCTTACTGTAGAGAAGCACTGTACAGTACCAGGAACCCTGAGTATAAAATACTCGTGCGTGTAGTAGGAATATCGCATGTCCAAAATTTTGGGTTGTCTCATTTAGTTAATAACAGAAATCATTGTCTCAAACGGTGTTAAACACTAAAAACTTTTTAAAAAATAAAGTGCATACAGAAGCAAGACACTAGCTCTGTCATTTTATCTTTCTTTTGTTGAAAGACTAAACAAAATGTTTTTTAGACAATCAAATGTTAGGTAAGTGCAAAGAATTGTTTTTCTTACTGGTGTAGAAATTAATGACTTTTTTTATTTTTTGGTTATTTTATAATAATGAGAAGACCAGTGTGTCACCAGGATCGCTGTTTTAAGACCAGGAAGCACTACATTATTGCAAATAGATATGAACTCTTAGTCTGCATGGGTGTAGGCTGTGTGATTGCTGAAAATAAATGCTGCTAATATATTTCCTTTTTACAAAAGCATATCTAAATAGATCATTGTTTTGATGTTAATCTTTGTAAATTATGTATTACCAATTTTAACATTGGATGTAATTGCATAAAAAGCCTGCATCTCAATCCTGAGAGAGTCTAGTATTAAATGGAAAAACTTTTCCTATTGATAACTTGTGGGGGTTTTTCTTTCACACGTCCTTGATTTCACTTTTTTGCTTCTTTGTCCCAACAGTTCCTGTGACGTGTTCAAAGTTTCTTACAGCCTTTTTTTAAGTTGTATGGCTGCCCCATCTCCTTTGAATATCACATTGCCTGATCACGGTTGGCATACTGAGCAGATATAGTTGTGGTGCTGTTGTTTTTCCTGCTGCTGTACAGCCTGTAGTAGAAAGGATGCTGACAGCATGTGTGCAGGCACTGAATACACCTTGATATGAATCACAGTGGAGGTGCAAGGAGCCTAAATGGAGCTGCAGCACAAGGCCCAGGCATCCAGTATTAGGAATTAGAGGGATGTATAACCTTGATTGCACATGTTGGCAGGTTGGTATATGAGTCATTAAACCTATGAATATGATGCCCATATCCAAATCACCATATCCAAAATCAAGGGCAATTGTATGCCCTCAGATCACTGCCCCAATTCCTGCTAAATTCTCTGTATCAACGCCAGTAACCACAAACTAATCTCAAAGTGGCACCATATCCTGCATATTCACTGGCACTAATATTAGATCAGAGGGAGTGCTAGATAAATACATTGACATTGTAACAGCTAACCATGTCCCATATGAAAGGAAATAGCCAAAAAAACAAAAAGGTGATTTAGGAAAGAATAAGGGACAGTTGGAGTCCCTTGAAGCATTCAGCCTGGCCAAGTACTACCATCCCCTTATGGGCCTTTTGACTCTCTTCAGGTGAGTCTAGTTGCATTGTTGGACACATGAGTGGAATGCACGTAGGAGACAACACCAAAAAAAATTAGAAATCGCATTCTTTGGGTCATTTCTAATAACCTGGCTCTGGCTTCCCCAAGACTGCACTAGGTCCCTTGTCACACCTTTCCTCAGAAGTTCACCTGGGAGTCAGTCAACTCAGCTCCTCCCTCTGAGGTTGGGACCCTGACCTTCCAAAAAGGCTGTTCTGAATCCTTTGAGGTGCTTAGCCTGTACTCTGCTGCAGATAGAGGGGGTGACATGAGACTCAGGTCACTATCCTGCTCTGTTAACTTAATGGCCTCCAGAGTTCCCATATGTTCAGGAATTCCTGTATTTCACAGGAAAATGGAGCAGTCACCAGGACCATTTTGCTGTCTATTTGTATTGGTCGCTCAGGACAGAATGGTTTCTTGCCGACTTCTGTAATGTAACATACAGAAAAATAAACATACTGATATGGGAGCCCAGCCCCTGGGCTGACTCTTTGTATTACCATTAAAATGCTTCATCTGACCCATACATTTGCATTCATTCCCTCCATGCTGCAGACATCATCTCAAGGACTGTATTATTAAACAATTAATTGAAAAGCACCTGGATTCATCTCCTGCCAGGCTGACCCCATTTCAGAGTCCAGAGACAGCTGTGGAATTCAATCATACATACACACAGCACATGCAAGCAAAATAACATTCCAATTAAGATGCAGTGTCCCTTGTCTGAGGCTAAGAATTGCACGGAGAGCTGGAAGTAAGAACAGAATAAAATAAGCCCTTTATCCTGTCATATAGAACAAAGACCAATTACCAAAATATTGGCTCCTGCTATTAAAATGTCATTTAAAGGCTTTAAAAGTGTCTCTCTGGCCTAGAAGGTCATTCAGAAACCCACTGGCAGGAAATCTGGGTCCTAAGAATAGTGGCTATCAACGTTTCAAGTCAGAAACTGGGCTAGTGTGCACTCTGTGTTGCATCCACAGCAGGGATGGGAAATGCCAGGCCAGTTAAGTTTCCAGTGCTGAACATACCATCCCAAAAAAAGGAATGAACAAACAGCATTGCTTTAAGGTTATACCATTTCCATTTCTGTAACAATACCTGGCTTTGATGGTCTCCCGGATATGAGGATACTTATGTACAAGGCAGAGCTCGAGGGGGCTAGGCTCATCTCACACCCCTCCAGCAGAAAAAGGCAGGGCTGATGCCAGGACTAGACAAGCAAATTTCCAGCTCCAACTGGCAAAAGATATTTCGGCAACAGGAGTTATATATTTCAGATTAGAGCCCACTTAAATGCTACCTGACTTAGAATTGAAGAAAATCTTTCACCAGCAGCTATGGGTCAGGATCTCCTTGGGGTTGAACTCTGAGGGATAGTAATTCCTATGCCCACTTATTCCACTTGAAACAAATTGTAACCTTGATTAGGCCTAAAACAATTGAAAAACTGTGAATCAAAGAATATGTGCCTAGTCATGGAATCATGGGCACTGGAGATGGAAAAAGCTATCAATTCAGGCCCCATTCAATCCAACTCTTTAATATTCTGCCAAAGTTAATAGACCTGGTCAGTGCAGCTGCCACACATAGTAATTGCACATGTAATATTTGTGATCATTAGAGAAACCAAAGACTTTGAGTGGCCTCACACACCATCTATGTTAGTTTGTAGCAGTGCAGGATAAGTGACTCAGCATTTCTGAGGTCATTTCTGGCTTGCCTAGGAGTGCTCACAAAGAAACTCATTAAGCCATGGAGAAGGCTATGGAAATTTCTTACTGGGGAAGCCTACTTTCTTCTGTGGTCAGTTGACTGAAAGAATCCCAGATTAATTGTGCTTTGCTTTTCTATGAGACGCCACCTTGAAGCAGACTTTCCATAGGCACCAACTCCAGCTTCACAATTAGGAGTAAACCACCCGTTTATACTGGCAAATAACCCACCTTTTAATCACATTTCTGTATAGTGGGAAGGGGAGGGGTACACAGGCCCTCACTGGCAATTGGTTCATGTGCCAGCGCTCAAATCCCAAACACTGAGGCAGATGTCCAGTGACTTGGGGTGTCTCTTCTAACTCTCAGCAGCATGTGCAATATTTGTCCTGCAAATAAACTATTGGAAATGCTCTCATAGTCCTGTGGGGCAGGTACCATTGAGTGAGAGACTGGCTCTCAGCAAATTTGTATGTTTAATCAATTTGCTGCTAAATAAATGGCCAACAGTTGAGTGTCAGGACCAGGACTACCTCCTACTACAGCCTCCCCAAGGGCAAGGTGAAGAGCGAGGCTAGGCCCTGTCAGTAGAGAGAGTACTAGGAACCAGGAATTCCTGAACTCTATTCCTGGCTCTGACACTGACTCATTCCTTGTGTCTGAGAGGGTAAATTAATTAATGTGGGAGCAAGGCACTTTCACACACTGGCCTGTTGCCCCCGCACCAGTTTTGAGAGTAGCTTGTTATGCAGCTCATGGGCCCTGGCTGGCTCTTGCTTGCACATCTGCTATGGTAGATACTCTGAGATCATCATCTTTCCGAGGCACAAAGCATGCTGCAGACAACCAGGTGCCCAAGGCACATGTACGATGGTCTCAGGGCATGTCAAGAATGCAGTGTCCTTTGTAAATGGGAAACTCAATCACTCAGCAGGGCTAGTGTGTTGCCTGTTGATTGTGTCAACCTCCATGTCACTAGCACATCACTGCTTTTCCCAAGGGATGCAGAACTGTTATAAGGTGGAGTGGAAGTACAGTCATTGTTGCGGGGGAGGGTCTGAACTGCTGTACCCTACATGCCCCCGCCTCCCCCATCCCATCACCAGTCAGCCATAGATTTCTTCCCCTGCAGGAGACAAATGGAGGAAGCCCAGTCCATTCAGGAAAGACATTTGCTAGCAAGCCAGCATGACAGAGCAAGCAGGAATGGAAGAGATTGAGGGGGGGGGCTGCCTAGTCCCAAGCTATCCCCATTATGGATGCCCTCAGTGAGCTTGTCCCTTCTCAAAAAGAGGCAAGTACCCTATCAGCCCAGCAGGAAAGTCCAGTGTCCCCTATCCCTGGGGCAGGGAGAGATGCTGCCACAGGGAAAGTGTATCCCACAGCTGCTGCGGGAGGAGTGCCTTGGTGCAGGGAGTAATAAAGAGACATCTTGGAATGATGGGGGGAGGGAAATAAAGCCAAGAGCATAAGAATCCAGGAGACTGGATCTGGGGAGATGCTGAGGAATTGAGGATACATATAAAAGGGATGGGTCTGCTTGCTCCTCCCTCCTGCATGTTCATGGCAATCAACATCTCGTTTGTTGCAGAAGCCAGGGTCGGGGTAAGAGATTGGGCTGGAACTCTAGTGATCATGGTTCAATGCCCAGCTCTGCTACTGACTCCTTGTGTGACTTTGGGCAAGTCACTTAATGTCTGTATACTTCAGACTCCCATCTGTAAAATGGGACTATTTCTGCTTCTGGGCGCCCACCCTTTGTCTAGCTGGTTTGTTTAGCCTGTAAACACTTTGGAGCCGGGTCTGTCTCTCACCGGGGGGGAGCAGCACCCAACACACTGGGGCCTCTGCAGCTATGCCCACTAAAAACTAAGAGCAGGAATGAGTGGCTAAATAGGGAATGAAGATAAATCAGGGGGTGACACTGGAGGAGGTGTGGGGTGGGGAGCAGAGGCAGCCACCAAATGTGTGGACTAGACACTGCAGGGTGTGGGACTTTTAGCATGGGCTCACAGCATGTGTGCCTGGAGCCCTGTGTCTCCTGTCTCCCTTGTGCAGGCTCCAGCACGCTTTATTTCTGGTACTTGGCTTGCATATGAGAAAGTCAAATGTTCCTCCAGCCACCAAGAAATTGAGACACGGACTGACAAACAGCATGAAGACACAATGTGCTGTGCCTCATTGAAGTCAGCATCTGCTGCTAGGACCTGAGCCCTGCTCATTCCTTTGCATGGGGAGCAGATGCTGCACCCCTGCCCCTTCCAGACTTAAATAAGAGCTATATGGATAGTATAACTCACTGGCAGTGCGGGAGGCGGGGGGAGGGGGAGGGAACCATCTCAGAGACACTTCAGGCCTTTTCTGGAATGGTCAATTGTGAAGCTGCATATGTTGGTCATGTTCAAACACACAAAGGCAACTTCCCTTCACCCCACACAAAAGAAAACCTAGCAGCCCTTTCACATGCTGGTCCTCTATCGTCATGATGGATGCCCATGCTGCCTGCACCCTAGCAGGC